TCTGTCCTGCCTGGGATTTCATTGGATGCCTTTGGCGTTGGGTCCTTCATGCTTCTTTAGAGAGCTCCTACTCGCTCTGCCGGGTGCTGGGCAAAGGGCTGACTTGGAAGCTGGGGCAGGCCGGAGAAAGGGGCAGAAGCGGGTGCACGTGGGGAGCTCACCACTCTCTCCTTGTAGACGATGTACTTTAGCCACTTGAAGTCCTGCCACTTGAAGCCGGCGAGGACAAAGAGAGAGTCCCGCTCGTATTGCTCGGGCCGCTGCATGGCGCCCTCGGGGTAGGTGATGCGCAGGGTGGTTTTGCTGCCCACGTCCTTCTCAAAGCCTTTCACGGGGGCGGAGTTCAGTCTACAGAGAGCAGGTCTGGTGAGAGCCGTCCATGTGTGTGTGGGAGGGTGGGGGGCGCGCCAAGGAGTTCTCGGGCTGCCATTTGTATAGGCCTGGGCTGCAGTGGGGCTGGACGGGACTCGATGGCCGTGGGCTTGGATTTGGGCATTGGTGTTAGAGGCGGTGGGTGTCCTGGCCCCAGGCGGTGCCCAGGTGCACACAATGAACAACAGCACAGGCCAGTGGGGGCAGGTAGTTCTCCACCCCAAAGCCCTTCAGCCCAACTAGCCAGATGGACAGAAGACGGACAGTGCTCAATGGCTCTGGTGCCCAGGGCACTGCTAGGGGAGCTTACCTGACCACGATGTCATAGTCGTCAATCCGAGGGCCTAGAGACTTGTTGGCAAGCACACCTCCGTTGCCCACGATGATGCAGCGGCGGCAGCTGAGGCTGAGGGAAGAGGCAGAGGGCCGCTGTGGGGAGCTGTGCAGCAGGCCCCTCTTCGCCCTGGCCCTCAGGCCCTTGACCCCATGTCCTCTGTTAGACTGGGGCAGAGGAATGGACTTCCGGCAGCACTCCTGAGAGGGCGCCTGAACCAGACTCAGGCTGGTGGCCCGCTCCAGCAACCCCTCTAGTTGCTGGTCTACCCCGAGGAAAACAAGGGTTCGGGCATGAGTCCTGGAGATGGCGAGGCAGTGGTTTCTGGGGAGACGGCCTTCTGGCGTCAAGACTCCCCAAAGGTTAGTGAGCTAGGGCAGCTCTCTGGAGAGGCAGGAAAGAAGCTGAGCCAAGGGCTGTGCCAGACAAGCAGGGAGTACAGGATGGAGCCCAAGGCTACTTGTTTGTCACTTGAAAGTCCCCAGGCGCCCAGCAGCCACACAAGAAGTCTCACTCATTTCACGGCTCCTAACAGGGATTGTGGGACCTCCCCTGTCCAGGGTCTGTTAGCTTCAGAGCTGACTTGAGCCCTGCTCCCTTCAGCCGCCCCACCCAGTCCCAGTGCCGGGCTGATCCTAGCTCCAGTGTTCTTACGTCTGAAGTCTAACTAAGCATCGATGTCCTTGTCAAGGGCTCTGAGCCCCAGGTGCGCAGGCTCAATGGACTGGTCCACCTTGCCTGCCTCACCCGCTCCAGCCGTGTGCACCGTCTGTGCACATGTAGGTGGGCTGGTGAATCCGCCCATGTCCAGGAGACGTCCCTGGGCCTGAACATCTCGGCACGCACCGGGCAGATAAGAGGCTTGAGGCTGGCCAGAGAGTGGCTCACCTGTCCAGGGCAGGGGTCAGGCGGTACTCTTTGGTGACGGACAAGATGGCTTTGATCAGATTATCTGTGGGCACAAGAGGGAAGTTACTGTGAGAGCTGTGGTTCTCCGCCTTCCTAATGCCACGGCCCTTTAATACAGTTCTCCTCAGGTATGGGGCCTCAACCATAAAATTTTCTTTTCTTTTTTCCCATTTCTGTAATTTTATTGATTTTCATCTTTTTTTCTTCTTTTTTAAAACAAAATCATTTTATTAGGGGCTCATACAACTCTCATCACAATCCATACATACATCAATTGTGTAAAGCACATGTGTACATTCATTGTCCTCATCATTCTCAAAACATTTGCTCTCCACTTAAGCCCCTGGCATCAGCTCATTTT